TATTTCTATGTGGATTCTACAAATTTCACTGGCTATGGAGAGAACTTACTACTAGACTGATATGATGCTGGTTCCCAAGTCATCTCTCTCCTCACCCCTTAAATCAATCAGTGCAACCATTTAATCTATTTGCTCCAATAAACGGTATATTAGAGCTAAACCGCTGTAACTTTAAATTTGAATGAAACCAGTTTGAAGCACTGACTGTCAACCTGGGTGCCACAGCATCCACGGGTGTCACCAGATCCTCTGAAGGGTGCCACAAGATAAGCAGATAACAGGCTTAGATGTGCCCTTCTTTGGCTATTTCCCAACCTCCTTCCCCATTGCACATCCCCTCTGTAAGGAGATAAGCACTGTAATATACAAGTTGCATCACAATTCACAAGAGTTATGGAGGGGTGCTTCAAGTCCAAAAAGGTTGAGAACCACTGATTTAAAGTTACAATAGTTTAGCTTCTGCTTAGAGCAGAACAGAAGAGACAGAAAAACAGTTACAGAAGATCCGCTGTAAATTATGATTTCAAAGCACCTAACAGTTTCTTTAGAGGCTCTAGTAGATGTAAATACTGTGGCAGCATAAAATCATAGCATGCACTGTTTTAAGGCCATTAAACACTGGATGTAGTCCAACTAAATTCTCCTGCATTGGTTACTAAACTACTAACTTCTGAATATTTAAAAAGAAAATTACTCCTCTTTAGATTGCAATACACACGAAGTCCCACTACTGTCTGTTTTGAAGAATACTTTTAGATTATGAAGTCTTTGTGCACTGTGGAGTGGACTGGAGAAAAAAAAGTCAGTCGCAAAACTTTCTAATACCTGTCACTAACTTTTATTCACCAACACATATGTTATGGCCAAATCCTGAAAAGGCACAAATACTTCTAACTTCAAGGGTGTGGCCTTTAAAACATAGTTAGGGAATTTTAATTTTGACAAACAAATGCTAACACACAACATGCTGTAACTCATTTTAGTAACATACAGTACTTAAAGAGGACAGTAACCTTGGGATTCAAGTACACTGTATCTATAGGAATTTTCTAAAATTCCTTAGAAAAACATTTGCAGGTGGCATCTAAAAGAAAAGTCTGAATATTTTTATTAAAAACTCATAAAGTATGTTTTCAAGTTATGAAAAGCATCAAAATAATCTGCATTGCTTTACAAGGGTATAAAATGCATCCACCAAAATTTCCTGACTTTTTGCAACTTAAAAAGGAACAGATATCTTATTTGCATCAAGTGAGCGTTACTAGAAAACTTGCATAAATTTCTCTTGTCACTTTCACTACTCTTATTTAAATTATTATTTTTTCAGGTATATTGATATGGCACAACAATGAGAGCTCCTCCTACTGTTCAGAGTGCCAGAACTACACCAATTCCTAACAAAACTTGTCTGCTCAGACCAATGGACGGAAAGTAGGAAGCGATAAGATCAGGTTACTTTTTGGACTTCAAGGAGTTGATACATTTCTTGTACAACATGGTTTTGTGTAAGATGTCAAAAGTAAAAGATAAAATGCAAAGAGATATTTTTATTTCAGTTAAATCTACATATTTATTCTGAAACTACTTGTATGACAAGTTCTTGGCTTATTTGAAGTAAGTTTCTCTAAATTTCTACAGCCTAGACCAGCTTCTGGCCTTTATCACTGTAAATGCTGACTATTTCATATCCTGTACAGTGTACCGCTATCACGAGCTCAGTTTGACACTACAGCTTTTAAAAAGAACCTTAAGTTCTCAGTTGTCTAGACGAATTTTTTAAAAGACAAAGTCTTCCTGGTTTGCATATGTTAGATAACAAGCAAAGGTACCTAACAAATACACTTGAACAAAATGAGAAAATCCTGTTTCCTTAACAATGAAGCAGATCTTGAACTTAAGTCACTTGATGAGGCTTGAGCAGCGTTGGGGGAACGGGAGAGTGTTTTCACAACTGTTCTTTTTCTGGTTAAAAGTGTAAATGACCTACCAAATCCTGGAACACTTTTGAGACTGGATTTGAGACAGATTTTTTCTAGTCTGAGGTAGCTGTATCGCAGCAGGCAATTCCATAAGAACATCCAGTCCATTCTTGTCCGATGGTTCATGATGATGACACTTCTTTCTCCAGGAATGAACCCATCACCTGTTATAACCACCTTTGCACCGAATACCATCTCCAGCAAAGCCTACAAGAAAGGTTACGACATTATCATTTACCCTCAGGAAAAATAAAAGCTTTAGCCCATCAATAACGGAAATAAGTTTTAAATGATTTCACTTAAATGTCGACAACTTCATTAGGAAAATGAACTTCCCTTAACTGTTTTCTTACCAGAAGTCCAGCCACATATACAGGACTCGGCCATTTTCCCCCAAGTCAAGAGGTGAATACAGTGAATTTCAGCACTTCTCAACCAAATGTTGTTTGTTGATCTGGATGTAAGATGGGAACACCTTATTTGCCCACTATCTTACAAGAATCAAAATGCAGACTCTGAATATGGCTCAGCAAGGTTTACAGCATGGCAGGGCAAAAGGGAAATTGCCTCAGGTATCCTGCAAGTAGTCCAGTGGCCAAAATCATTAGGGCACTGATAACTTCTGGAGCACGATCTCCTAACAGTGTAATGCAATGCTTCACTCTCATCCCCACAGTTAGCTAGTAGTAAAAATAGAAAAACAGAGGCTTGAGGGTGGGAAATCCCAGACAAAACCTGAATGCACTTTAACAGAGTGGCATATGTCTGTGTAAGCCAGAATCAGTGCTGTGATGTTCCCCAACATTATAACTACCCTTCTTTACAACAGGGGTGGGCGAAGTGGCAGATCCGGCCACCAGCCAGACTCCATTTCCCAGCAGCCCCTGCTCGCATTGCTGCAGTCAGTTTCCATGGAGACCCTAGCAGCAGCAGCACCGTGACAGTGCAGGGCCAGAGACGGGCCCCAGCAGCACTGGCAGGGCACGCGGCTGGGTGGGGAGCTGCTCTGCGGACAGGGCTGGGATCTTGCAGCAGTGACAGCATGGTTCAGAGCCAGGGCAATGCTGTGAGCCACTGCCCACAGGCATCCCCTTTCTCTCTCCCAGATCCAGGGCGTGCGAGCAATGGATCGCAGCTCTAGCCCAGCTCCAGACCATGCTGTCACTGCTGCAGGATCCCAGCCCCAGCCCTGGAGCAGATCCCAGCCATGCACCTTGTCAGTGCTGCTGGGGGTGGTCTCCATGGAAACCTTGGCCTCACATTGTCACGCTGCTGCCGCTTCTGGGGTCTCCACAGAAATATGGGCAGGGGCTGCTGGGAAATGGACACTGCCATGGGCCCAACCTGGCCCAGAGGCCAGACTTTGCCTGGCCCCGCTTTAGAAAAATGTGATTCGTATTTTGAGTGTCACTATAACTGCCAGAGGTTCTGAGAATACCCCAGAGGATCACAGTAATGCCATGCACCTCCCTGAACAACCTAACACAACAGTCACTGACAATGAGCTTTCAATAAATAATGTTTTTACTATGGAGTATGCCATAGCTAAGGAAAATCAGGTGACACAGGTAAAACAAAGACTTATTATCTGAGTCTCTCTTAGCCTAGCCCAGAGGCAGGACAGACATAGACCCATTTCCTGGATCTAAAAGCTCAGGTTTCAATTCAGGCATGCTGCTTGGGCAAAAGCATTCAAAAGGTTTTTAATTTACCTCCAATAAGGAGCTGATTTCAATATGGAATGAAACCAGATTTCTAGATTGCAAAAGTTGCCATGAAACAGAACTGTCATCCTTCAACAGCCCTAAGCCTAACACGCACTTTTTGAAAAATGGGGCTAATACACTGAAAAGTTTACCCATAAATCAAGAAACAAACCTATTTCTTTAACTAATCAAGAGCTGCCTCTGGATTACTATGAGAGCAGAAACTGTAAGAAACAATGGAAAAATCATTACCTATCACAAGTACTTCTTTTAGCTATCACTTTTAGCTACTGCTGTTACTATTACCAACTGCTAGGTTTCAAACTTATCAAAATACCTAAAATAAAAGCATTCCAAGTTCCAATGACAACTTTTGCATCAAAACAGGTATTCAATAGGAAAATTATAAAGCACATAAGAACCTATCCTCTTCTGCCATCAAAAGGAAATTTAGTGTCCTGTTTGGTGATCTGGTAGGTAATCAGAGTGTCAATCTTCAAACAGTACTACCAAAGAAGTGAAGTTCAAATATGTACTTGGCTGTGACAGATGAAAAAGTGACCATATTGTCATTTTCCCTTAAAATGTTAATTTTTTATTTCCTTCCTAATTTAATTAGTTTTGCACTAATGGTGGAAAGAATTAGCAATTTCAAGCTGCATATGGAGAAGTCCAAATGCAGGTAGAGAAAGTAGAATCAATGTTCTATGCTTTAAAAGGTATTAATCCTTCCACAGCAGACATGGATGTGCTGGAAGTGATGAGGCTGTAACAACCAGGGTAAATATTTTATTTCAGAAAAATTAAACAGGCCTACCATATTTACTCAAATCCAAGACAAGGTTCCCCCCACCTCCCCGCCCCAATCAACATGGAGGAGAAAAAAGCAAAAAAAAAAAGCTGGTACTCTTGGAATTGAGTACCGGCAGAGGCAAGTGGTTGCTGCAGCCCTGGCTCTCAGCTTAGGGCAAAGTCAAAGCCAAGCTGCCGCCTTGCTGTGGCAGAGGGAGTGCGCAGTAGGGGGAGTATAGTGGAGACTATGCAGGGAGTAAGGGAGGGGGGCATCCAGGAGAGACCATGTGGGGGAAACCCATGCTATGCAATTCAGAGGGAGCATGGGGGAGACTATGCAGCCACTTCCCCACCACTGCCTGCTCCATCTCCCCAAGGCTCACATTCTGTTCTACCCTAAGCCGCTGCTGTTTCCAACTGCCTGAGAGCCAGAGCTGCTAAAGCAAATGGGGAAGGCAAGGGGCAGAGTTCTGGCTAGCTGCCTCCCCACATCCCCGCCATGGGGGATGAATTTAAAGACACTCCCTCAGTAATTAGATTCCATACATGGAAAGCTATAAAAAATGTATGATCTTCCATATAAAATTCAATTACTGGCTGGTTATCTTCATTTGAAGACATCTTAGATTCAGATAAATATGATATTTATGAATAAAATTTTTGAATTCTCAACTATTTGTGAACAATAATAAAGAGTACACTGAGCAGACGACCAACTGCAGGAAAACACAAAATGGACCAAAGTAACTTAAGCTAAACTGATTAAGCCCTGCTATAGGGACTTGGTTAGATCCCAGAACACTTTTTATAGTGGTATAACTGAATTAAATGGAAAATTGTGTTGATACGGGGTCCTCTTTCTTTTATACAGCTACTACATTGATGAGATACAGAAGACTGCTGGAAGCTCTATTGTGCTCTACTACTCTTTGCTTTACTCAGGTCTTCTACCAAGTCCGCTCCTGTTTTGACCTTGATTAAGAAATCACTTTAAATATATTTTAAAGAAAGTCATTTGCTCTGCAAGTCCCATTCTATTACAATTGTTGCTATATTGTTTTGGGAAAGGGAAAAGGAAGGAAAAATGGGAGTTGGCCACTGGAGGATAAAACTGCCATCCAAGAGAGAAGCCTTAACTGATCTGCAATTTCATTACCAATAATGCAACATTTCTGATGCACTGGGCATGCAAGGGAGATATCTTCCATAATCCTGTGAAACAGAATGAAAACAACAGGGTGAGGTCTGATGTAAAGTAACTATTTATATTAAGTTGAATGAAAGTTCAAAAATATTTGAAGGCATCTGGCTCAGAAGTTCTTTTGGAGGATGGATTTGGAGACTTCTTAAAAAGACCTGTCAATATTAGGATTTAAGATGTGATGCTAGTTAGCACGCTAAGTAACTAGTGTGAACAAAGTTCACTGACTTTCACGTGTTAAATTGGCTAAATTAAGTCCTACGCTCCCAGTGGGTGCTAGATGAAGTGCTGGAAATTATTAAGAACATTTTCATAACATCAAGAGTGTTGTAAGACAATCTAAATATAAAGGCTCACTAGAAGTACACTCATGTTGCAACTTACCACTGGAAGTGTGAGCCAAGTGGCTACAATTCGGTCCACGATCCAGCGATACCAGGCAGGGGAAACAAACATCAAAGGTAGAAAAGGACTGAGCATGAAAATACTTCCAAAAAAACTTCCGAGGAACAGTGCAAGTAGAAAATATATCCCTTTCCATGACACCATGGCTCTGAAAAACAGAAGTTAGCATTCCATTAGGTAAATATACTTGCAGTCATGCTTTCATTACTTAACTCAACAACTGCCCCTTCCTATATAATTTCAGTTAGATGTGGCCTCATTCATTTTTGGCCTATTTTTTAATGTTACTTCATTAAAAAATGTTACAGCAATGTGAACTGAAAATGTCCTACCTAAGTGGTAGCATTTCACTGGCAGCTTAAAACGATCAACATAAGCACAGTAACTTTTAAAGTCTTTGGGATATTAAGAGACCAAAAGATTATATCAGCTTCATCTTCAGTTATTTCCTCTGCTTAGTATAAAAATTCAGTTGCATGCTGAAGTTTTCTGAAAGCTATTTTTATGGCACCAAGTGACAAAGGGGATAGAAAACCAAAAGGATTTGTGTTATGTCATACTTCTGATGAATTGTATCTTCTCTTGAGTTTCCAAAATACTAATCTTTTGATGGTGACAAGTAAAAAAGAGAAGACTAGGCAAAGTTTTTCTATTTCCCACTTTGTGTCCTCTTCCAAAGTCTAGTGTTGCCATAACCTTTCTACCACACTTGGAAACTGATTACATCACTTTCTACAGAGCCCACTAATACCACCCAAAGGAAAGATTAGGAAGCAATCTTCTAAGCCAAAGGTCTCAAGCCAAAGGTCTCACAACTTTTTCTTATTGCGTACCCCCTTCCAGATTTACCAGCTGCCTGCATACTCCTACCAGCATACATTTTATGTTTTAACCCCGTAAAAGCCAATTATTATTGTAATGAAAACTGAATCTGCCATTACACAATTTCTCCTGCATACCCCCCAGAGATGTCTTGTGTACCCCCAGGGGTATGTGTATCACAGTTTGGGAACCCCTGTTCTAAGCCATTCTGGCCTATAGAGCCTGTAACCTAGTTCAGGGCCCCCACTGCATTTCTGCTGGCTCCAAGAGTTATCTTCCAGGTGATGCCATCATATGAAAAGAAATGTCTTCAGAAACTGCAGTGTTTCAGTTTGGAAACTTCTGACTATTGCATAAGATGGCCTTTGGTTTCATAAAACAGCAGTCTAGACTTAAAATATTCCAGTGACCATGCAACCAGCTTGACTGTCTTGTTATAGATTAAAATACATAATGGATAAAGATTCTTAATGGATTAGTGTAGAACAGTTAGAGCAATCCCCCAAAGGTTTGTGCTGGCTACAAGCCTTTCCAATTCAGCAGAGAACCAAGCTATGACAAAACAAATCTGGAAATATTAATTCCCTAAATTAGAAACTAAAAATAACCTGTTTAGCACTAAACTGGTCGCTTGCGAGATGAAAGGTTAAGCAGAAGTCCCCTTCTCAGTCACTTCACTGAATTCCTCTCCATACAGACTGCTTTAGGAATTATAAAAGCGCAGATAAATGAGAGTTTGGTACAAGGAAAACAGGAAGCTGGTACTTTAATTTTAAAATGAGCAATGGAAAAAGTAATCCATTAAGCCCTGTATACTGAAGCCTACATACTTGATCTTGAGTGTCCTTTCAAATCATGTTCCATAGTAATAATACAGTACTAAGGCTGCACAGCAAAGCCTTCAAAAATCCAGAGATACCAAAGTTAAGGTTCTAAGCACCATCTTAGCTCTGCTTCATTGGCCGCTGCAAAGGCCAGCCTTCCCCTGGTGACCTCTCAGCCTTTGTTTCTCCCTGTCCTTTAGCCTTTCTACTCAT